CCTTCCTTCCTTCCTTCCTTCCTTCCTTCCTTCCTTCCTTCCTTCCTCTCTACTTTCCTCCCTCCCTTCCACCCTCCCCTGTTGCAATGATGAGGCAGTCGAGGTGTTTGACCATGATCAAATGAATCATGATGACTTTATTGGAGTCTAGTCTTGTATTTATACACATTTCTAGTAATCCTCTAACATTGGTTAACTTTGGTTGTTGATCAGCCTTTGTTACTGTCTAGCATAGTAATTAACACAGTTTAATTATCTCTAGTTAAAGTCTAACACGTTTACTTCCTCTCTCTAATCCTTCTTTGCATTAGTGATTTTGTTTGTCTGGGTTGTATTTGCTTTTGTCCTTATCTGAGGTTTGCCATCAAGGTAGCGACCTTCCTGCAATTACAACTCTACACTCCCCTCCTCCCATCTCTCTCCCTTCTTTTTTTTCCTTCCTTCCTTCCTTCCATCCATTCGTCCATCTCCAGCATGACTCCATTTCAGCTTTTCCTTTCACCTGTCCTCCTTTTTCTAGGACACTCACATACAGCTGGACGACGCAGTCCGGGCCAATGAGGACCTGAAGGAAAACATTGCCATCGTAGAGCGAAGGAACAACCTGCTCCAGGCTGAGCTAGAGGAGTTGCGGGCCATGGTGGAGCAGACGGAGCGGGCCCGCAAACTGGCGGAACAGGAACTCATTGATATCAGTGAAAGAGTCCAGCTCCTTCACACCCAGGTGAGGGGGAACTCAAAGCCAAGAAACAAACTCAGCCTCAGGGGCTGTGAGCAGCCAAGAGAGTCCTGCTTTCATGAAATTATTTCCACTATCTTATATTCCAGAAATTTTTAAAAAAATCTGTTGAATTCTTCTCTTCTCTCCCTTTTCTTCTCTTAACTTCCTTTCTTTTTCTCTCTTCTCTTCTCCTCTCCTTTCTTCTTAACTTCTCCCTTCCTTTTTCTCTCTTTTCTTTTCCTCCTCTCTCCCTTTTAACTTCTCCCTTTCTTTTTCTTTCTCTTCTCCTTTCCCTTTTAACTTCTTCCTTTCTTTTTATCTTCTCTTCTCTGCTCCTCTCTTCTCCTCTCCTCTCCCTTTTCTTCTCTTAACTTCTTCCTTTCTTTTT